ATTTCCTTCTGGCTTTGAACCTCTGTTTGCTCGGAGCTTTATTAGGAATCGCTGTGATTTATACTTTATTGTATTTATTGTTAGTTTATTTTTCTTGTTTTTTAAAACAATAGCACTATATTTTATTTAAAAGAAAATCCCTCCCTCGTTGCTCTTTCTTTTTTGTGATTCTCTAAAGCATTTTTCTCATGCGACAAGATTGAATAGTTCTTAAATGTTATCTACGAAAGCTGATTTTTTTTTCATGAATGTCGCTTTTCTTCGGATTGGGATCGGTAACTTGTAGCAGGATTCAGAGATCGTGCGCTAAAAACGAAAGAGACGGACGCAGAAACGTCGCGCATTATTACATTCGTTCCGGCTGAGGTAACAAATGCGCGCGATCCTTTAGGATTTACGTCGTTGCTCGGCAGCGTCTTACCGTGAACTCATATGTCGCCGTAAACTTATGTCCGTGCAGGACGACGAGGTGGCCGTCATTTAATCGCGTACTTAACACGTGTCCGTCCACTTTCTTCCTCCCTTTCTCTTTCTCTTCCTTTTCTTGTCCGGATACGGTATGGTATTAAAGCGATATCCCGGCGCCACCATGAACAGCCTGCGACAGGATTCTGCATCTGACGCAGCGCGTGGCGTGCGCTGTGAGGAGAGAGCGGTGCACTTGCGCCATTATTCAGTGTGGCCACATAGGCCAATTGTCAATTGCTATCCCCTTCGGATAATTGCTATTAACATACAATACGGCCCGCACATCGCACGCGTCGAAAGGGATATCCTCGCTCGTGATTTACCGTCATAAATTTATTCTCGCGGCCAAGATTAAAAGCGAAACTACACCGTTCACTTTCCACAATTAGTATTGATGTGAAAAAGAATAAATTTTACAGACATCTTTCGCAAAAAACGGTCATTCGTTTTGCTCGAAAGAATTTTATTTTGCACGTTAAATTTGCGTAACGCAGTAGAGCAATTTACAATTAAATTATATCTGTATATCGATAATACGAAAAGTAATTTACTAGTAATTAATATAATTAAATTTTTATTTTGATACTTTTTTGCCAAATTACGAAAATTCGCGGAAATATCGTAGAGCTCGGCCGGGTAATCCACTTCCGACGGTACGTTCAAATAAGAACTCATTCACTCGACGCATTCATTTCGCATCGCCCGCGGAGAATGAACCGTATAAATTCGCCTTAACCACGCAATTGCGCGCGTGGGCGCAGGCCGCGAAATGAGACGACCGTCGAGCTTTTCTGCGGATTCGCTCGGTAGGCGACTTCACCTTGACGCTGGATATGCATCTTGACGCCACGTCCAACAAGTAATTGGGTAATTTAATCAAGGTAGATCGCAGTGAATCGGATAACGTATGCGCTATACGGGATTATTAAGCCAATAATATTAACTTGTTCACTCGAAAAGACAGTCGAGTTTCGCCGTCCTTTTGTATCTCTCGACCATGAAACCGTGAGACAAACACGGCGATCCGTAATTTTTCAAACGCTTGCGAGAGGCACGGTGGAAAAGTATACAGGTAGCTTAGATTTAGTGTCCGCGTTTCTCTAACGATTATTATCGAAGAAATAATTATTTATCATAATCTATTTTTGTTTCCTTTATTAACATATTGACAGCAAAATTCTTGAATTATTACTACTTTTTGTCACAATAAGGTAACAAATAAAATGCAATTTTGCTATAAAATAATAATAAAGTACAACTATTGCAAATAATGGTAAATTAAAACGATAACGTTGTTTAACACACAAAACGAACTTTATTTCACTCACTTGCCGTTATCTGTATTTTAATGTGAATCTAACTCTTTTCACTCTTCGCGTGGGTGAAGACGGGGCGGAATGAAACGCCGTCAAGATTTTCTCCGGTTCTTCTCGGTATGGAATTTACCTTGACGCACGCTAGATACGCATCCCAATGCTATGTCGTAGAAATAATTGGGTAATTTAATCGGGTAGGATAATCGCATGTCGTGGGTACATATAGCGTAATATAGCATTAGCAAGATGATATTATTAACTTATCTCTGACTAGAAAGACGGGTGTATGTTTCACGACCTTTATCATCCGACGTCCTTTGTATATATAGTTCACGATTTTTTAATTTTTATACACGATTATAGTAAATAATTAATTATGGTGAAATTTTTATGCATATTTGAATTTTCTTAGAGAAAGAGTTCTGCAATATTTAAACGCATATGTTGTATAACATTAAAATTATTATTCTCCTCTTGGTTGGTATTGCAAGATTTGCTATTTATAAATAAACTTTCTGGGACAATGTACATATGCTGATAATAGCTTAATAGCCTTGTAATAGATAATTCCATCGTCGTCGTTAAATTTTTATCGAAACAATTTATTGATATACACGTTTACTACAAGATAGGATTTGATAACAGTAATGTAATTATCTTGACGTTTTGATATTTATAATTCTTTAGCTGCCGTTATCTCGATTTTCCCACCGGCATACGTATGTACGTGTTCAGTGAGGTGTATCACGCATTTCATTCGGCGCGTATACGCGAATGCTTTTCACTGGGATTAGACGGGCTGCCGACCGGCGGGTGAAACCGCCTGTCAAGATTTTCTGGGGGATTTTGCCGAGTTGGGAATTTTACTATGGCGTGTGTCCCAGATGACACGCATCTTGACGGCATGTCATAAAGATAATTGGGTGCATAGCATTATTAACTGGTGCGTCGGGTGAACGTGCCTGTCGCGCGTCAACGTGAATGGGTGCTAAATGTTAACCCGCAATACGTGCAGCGGAATCTATATCGAAGCATAGAGATGAAAATAAGCGCGTGCATGCGCATAGAATACACATATGTATATCACGGCATTCCTCCTATATTCGCGTACAAAACGTTCAAATACGAGATAAGCCCTGAGAATTTCCGGTCTTGAATTAGCAGCAATTAATTTCGGAATCAAGATGTGTCGTGCCTTTAATAGAGAAGAAAAAGTCGAGATTATACTGAGAATCACTTTCCCATAGTGCAGAAATTGTAGTGTAAAAAAAAGAGGAGGAACCTTATCATTTTTATTATCTCCGAGGTGCAGCGGAGTGCGCCGCGCAGCGCACGTCTTCTTGCATTACATTATCCAATCCATCACACTTTACAGATGATCCATAAGCAAGGAGCAACGCCGCCATTCTTTCCGGCGTGCGCAAATTGCTGATTATTAATCTAACGACGCGCTATCTTTCCCCGAGAGCGTAGCCCGATGGTGCGTGTTCGCCGCACTTAAACAGAAAATCGTCGCTCTAGGCGGCGTGGCGTGGTACAGACGCAACGTAGACGCAGAAGGGAAGCAGGAGGAGGAGGAGGAGGAGGAGGAGGAGGAGGATGCATGCGATGCGTTCCGGGCCCTCTTCTTCTTCTATGCCGTGGGCGACTGGCCCTACGGGCGGGCGGCAGGGAAAGGAAACTGTTACGAGATCGATTCGCGGCGGGGACCAATTAAATCGTGATCCACCGCGCGCGGATGCAATGCGCTGGCCGAGAGATCCCGCTCGCAGATATAATCTCCCTCCTCGTCGCAATAAATCGATGTAGGTAAATGAGTCGCGGCGCGGCGCGGCGCGGTGCAGTTTCTACCGCGGGCTGTCTTCCCCGTCCTGCTTTCTTCTCATTCCATTACCCACTTACACTCCCCGGCGGCCGCGAGAGCTGGAGACCGACCGACGCTGCTGCCCGTCGACGTAAACACACGTTGCGGCACACCGTTGCTGCTTCGGGAAGTCTCCTCTCCGCCAGTATCCTCGATGCGCCGAGCGAGCAGGAAGACTAGGATGGCTCAGTTCGCTCGCAAACTGACTCGCAAGCTGATTCTCACGTGGGAAGAGCCCTCGCGATCTCGCTCTGTCACGTATCGACGCGAGGCAATCGTTATCGGTCTCTTCCTACGATTTGTTCCTCGATCCTGTCGATCCGCTTTTATATTCTCGAGACAGGCGCTGGATTTATGGGGCTTTTGTGTTAAGACAAGAGAGACGATCGACAGTCGTTTTGCGAAACTATATGAAAGAAAAGATGAATATGTATCTTTGATACGAAAATCTATTGCGGACGAATGTATATTAAAGAGACTGAGAAACGTGCATGAGAAAACGAATAATTATTTGAGTGATTCGGAAATTGACGTAACTAATTATTAAATTACGAAGACTTTTGAAATCGTTAAATTCTAAATTAATTAACGTTCTATTTTTCTGTGTAGATATATATTTTATGTTTGTATAGATTATGTGACATAGGTTTAACTATCATAATTTCATGTAGAAGAACTTGCCAGACATTTATATAAAATTTTATAAATTTATTTTAATAAAACAATGTTTATTAACGAGAATTTGATGACTTGTAATAGTTTAAAAGTGTGGACCTAAGATAAATTTTTTTATGTAAAGAAATAAATATCGAAGCAACATATACATCTCTAAAACCTACGTAACTTTGAGAGAGGATTTTTTTTTAATTGCTTTAAATGTACGGGGTACCATTTACGTTCGTTGCCATTTAATTTTCGGTTCACGTTTGTGACTTTACATGCCCTTTCAATCTTTTGTACGGTTTAATAAAATTGTGCTTTCCGTGTTATAATTCAATGCTGCACTGTAGTGTTCGAAAACTGAGAGAGAAGTTGAGGAAAAGGTCGTTTTGCGCGGCCGACCGGATAAATGAGAGAACGTCGCGGCGTCCGATTGACTGCGCCAATTCCATTAGTCCAGCTTGTAGCAGGCTGTTTCCGCGAGGTGCGTGTGTATCGGGTTATTGTGAGAGTCGCGTCTGTGTGAAGTATCCATGCCGGGGTGAGTGCTTCTTGTTATAAGTCAGATCGGTATCGGATGAGAAGATCATCAGTGGAATCACTCATGCGGACAATTAAAAATATCGATACGATGCTTATGGCGGCGCGATTAATCGATATATCTTGATCAATCAAGCGTGACGTTCGGACATATATCATCTTCATCATCTTCCATTTCAAATTTTTCGATGCCGTTGAAAAAACTGAAATCTGTTTTAACGTATCGCCGACAACGATGAGAAGTCTGTGTTACACAGGTAACTCGCACAATGCTGAAAATGTAATGTAGAATCAATACACTTTGAGGAGCACTTTTAAATGTATAATTTATGAAAGGCAAATTATAATATCCTATCATTAGTGAATATCCATATCATTAGTAGAATGGCTGCGTTTTATTAACCTTGCAGAGAGTCCTTTATCGAATCGATCTCGTTTACGGTCTACTAAATATCGCGAATAAAATTGTCTTTTGCAATTGCAACCAGTTTAAGCGGAAATTGAATTGTGAAAAGAAAGAGATTGGAAAGTTCATGGATCAATACGGTTTTATTCTTTGGGATATTTCCATCAGGATATTCGATGTCTAACAATATATTCAAACCAGATAATCTGAATATGATTTGTAATAATGATATATAAATATCAGCTCTTGACTACTCACTACCATCTAATATGTGTGTATGCACATAATTTAGATCAGGGGTAGTCAACCTTTTTAGCTCGCGTGCTATTTTGGAAGTTACAAATCCGTGGCGTGCGACTGTGCTGCAGAATTTAAAAAAGTCTGTAATATATTGTTTCGATAACCTTTATTTCAAATTATTACAAGCTGTTTTTAATTACTTTAGTCCCTAGAGTAATCTGGATGTAATTGCTGAACGTACTCCTGCAGTGAAATATCAGCCTAATGCCTTTAGCATGAAAATGAACAAACAAACGCAGCCAGAGAGCGTAAATGTAAAAAATAGATTGGAGTACGGTTGTAATTTTACTGCGTTATTTTTGTTTTTTTAAATTTTTATTCTGACAGCACGTGCTTTTTTAGGTGTGCCATTGAAAATGTCTTTGCGTGCCACTAAAGTTATTAAATACCTATAATAAATAGATCTAAATCAGGGGTTGGCCACTCCTAATTTAGATCTGTTTATTATAGATATATTTATATTAAGATGACTTTAAACATATTCTTGCATATATCAGTTGTAAAACGATCGACCTTTTAATTCATTTTCAATTAAAATTATTTAATTAAATTATACATCTATTAATCATAAAAATTTTTAATAAAATTGTTATAATTATATAATTCTTACTAATAAATTTTTATAAAAATTTCTAAAATATTATATATGAAAGAAATCTTTAATATTAAAAATATTGTCTAAAAACTACTTATAAGAGATTGAGCGTATACATTAAATAAATTAGGGGGCAGCAAAAAGTTTACACATCCTATTATGTAAGACGCAAGTAATTGACCTATCTCTTTATTGCTTCCACTGTGCAGCAAAGCCCGTTCCGCCGTTCGCGTGTTCTGTCGTTGCAGATGCAACGAGTTCTTTTTTTCTCTTAATGGAAGTGTCAGCCGCAGTCGTGCGGATCGGGTATCCGCCACCTTTTATTTATTTATTTAAATGCCTATCTGATCGAACAAATATACCATACGATAAGATAATTTTCAAAACCAGATTTCCTCGCCATCTTCACGAATTATTAATTACAAAATTTTATATTTTACAAAGATAGATTAAAAAAAAATTTAATCTATAATTTTTAACTATTAAAACATGACATATTAAAAAATTTTTAATTTTGAAAAAAGACTAACTCATTACATATAAAATTCTTGTTGTCTGAAAAACAGAATTTATTTTTAAAGTTTGTTATTAATCTGATAAATTTTACTGATTCCCATTTTTTTAATGTAAATACAAGAACTATTTTCAGACAAAATAGGATGGTTCGAAGAAGGCGTTCATGGCGCGAAGCCACGGTAGAAATTAATTATACGAAAATGAACGTGTCGCGTTCGTCGATGTTGGTTCCATTAAAACCAGGAAATTGTTCGAGTTCAACATTCCGATTACGCCAGATGTTTTGACTGGCTGCTATGTAGCAACACGGTAGCGAATCTCGCTTATAACCAGCACCCTTCCTCGTCTCTGCTGCTAATCGATGCGTTAATTGATGGAAATAATTGTTCTGGAATACTCGTAGAAATGTTGGATTATAACTCATCAACGTGTTAATTAATTTTTCCATTAAATATTTTTTGCTAAACTTGTTCGTAATATGATACATTATAATTGTATCATTAAGATCTCTCTGCCTTTAAATCGTGATTTTTAATTATTCCTTCTCTCTCCTTCTCTAGATATAATTTGCTCTTTTATTATGTATACGTACTGAACGATTTCATACTTGTGTGTGTGTATATATTTATCAAGTTATACTAATAATTTCGTCGTTTTTAGAGCCTTTTATAAAAGGGACAAGAGCAAAAAGCGAAAGCAATTCCCTCGGCCACTTAACATCAAATTATTTTGCTCGCGATAGAAATCGCGGTTGAGGGGCGATTGAATTAACCGATTGTCGGATGTTATGCGGCAATGACATCGTTTCTCATTGACACCGCGTACGCGCGCGATCAATTTGCGGATCGCGATACACGCACGCGACTTGTTTGCCGTAGCCGGCGCGGTTTGTCACTAGTGCAATCGAAACGTCGTTCGTCGCGACCACTTACCATTCGTAAATTGACGGACTTTGCGACTCGCGTGTTTCCGATATAGATATGTCCCGTTTCGCACGCTCCACATATTTCAATTTTCTAGAATCGGAAAACGATCCGCCCGCTCGATTGGATTTAATCAACTGGATTCTCGCGCGTGCTTTCGAGTAACACGAGGTACAGAGAAGATTTTCGAGTATTCGCAACAATTAGGACTGACAATTAAAGGAATTGTGCCAGTTTGTCGGCGCAAAATGCGAGACGCCGAGGGAGAAGCGGAGTCATTCGAAGTTTACTAACAGAATTAGTATTTCCCAGCTCAGTTCTAGACCGCCGCGAATTCCGAGCCGCGACGCAGTCGGCGTGGAATTAAGTTTCTTGATAAGAGATCGGATGGAAAGGGTGCACTGTGTGTCGAGTCAATTCCGCTTTTACCTTCATTTTTACGCAGAGTATAAGAAAGTTACGCAAGTTAATGAAAGCTCAAAGGATTCAGAGAAGTTGAGCTAATGTTTTAAGAGACGATTAAGAGAGGCAATTAAAAGATAAAGGTAGAATTTAGAATTCTCTCGTCGTGGAGATTCTTTTGATTTAGTAAGAGAATAACAAATGCCGTATAATTTATTAAACGAATTACTCGTAACTCGGTTCAAATATTTTTGTTTAGAGTATTAATTTATTTCGTTTGATTCTGTTTGCATGTTTCAATAAGCATATTGAAAGCTTTCGAAATTTTAATCCGTGAAAAAAATACATGTATCCAAATTTACTTTTAAATTGATTTGTAAATTGAAGTGAATTGAATACTTTTTGATGACATCATGACGCGTTACAGTTTTCTCCACTACATTTCTGTCTGTATAATGTGATATGTTGATTTGATAGAAGAGAGATCCGGTTCTTCCGGCTGCAATTGTAGGGACGAGTGGTTTGATATCGAATCGTTCAGAGAAACGGATCGGAGGAAAGAAAGCGCAGATGATCGGAGAAAAGGTGGCCTTTTGAAAGCGATAGACACCTTTGTGAACGGCTCAGAAGATTCTCTATTGGAAGCGACTTCGGTGGTACGAGGCGACAGATGAAATCTGTCTGCTTGGCTCGCCTCCGTCTGGCGTGGACATAGTTTATAGGCTGATAAACCGATAATTCATCTGAAAGGCTCAAAGGAAATAAAGCCAGAAGCCAATCCATTCATAAAAGCTATGTACATACACTATTGAGAGCAATGTTGCCCTGATATTTTGATTCATTATTTCTCTACAGTCCTTTAATTATCGATTTATCGTATCGGAGTCATATTTCCAATTTACATAAGAATTTCCTATTACAATTTCCTATTTATTTTAAAATCTCTGTGTTATGAAAATATAATAAATATAATTTACTACAATTTTATTAATAATTAAATAATATTTAATTATATTATTTTTATAAAATTTTTAATTTTTTAATAATTTAATGAAAAATAAAAAGTTTGATAAAATGTTGATTTTTTTTTAAATAAAAAGCTTTAATTATTATGATTCTAAATAAATTTTTATATTCGCTAATAATGATAATTTTTAAAAATGTAATGAATTGTGTTACATAATATAATAACAAAATGTTATATTTTAAAAACGGAATGTGTTACTCTGAAAAATACTTTGTTTAGAATTCTGTAGCTACATTGATTTTTGTGATGAAGTAGAAATAACGAAAAATCTCAATATATTAATTGTAAAACAATTTATGTGTGTGGTCGAATTTTGTAGATTTTATGCATTATAACTGATTCCATTGCATATCAATATGTATCACACAAATAGAACTGTGGACCGACTTTTAAATCTCATTCTCGGACAAGTAGCAATTTACACGTTGTACGGATACTTGGGCGTCTGCCCAATTACTTAATGACTGTAATACAGTTTTGCACTGATCTTGCATCGCGCTTCGTCATTAGCACTGTTATTGTCGATGGTTTTATTTGGTTCCGGCGCGTGCTCGCGTGTATCACACTTATTAATTAACAGCAATATAATAGGGTGGAATACCGCGATTGTATACGTGTGCGTATCTTCTCGTGAGAGAAGCGCGAAAAATCGTGACGCTTGTGACGCAATACAGTGTAAAATAACGATTACAGAGAGATGTGAAGGGAGAGAGAAGAGAGAGAGAGAGAGAGAGAGAGAGAACGGGGGAGGAAAAGCTCTTGCGAGAGAACGGGTCAGAGATAAGATCGTCAGTAATGAACTATCCGGACATGACGTGAGCCTAATGAGGACTGCAGAAATAATCTCGGGTCGAGATAGAAATGCGCGCTTATGTATGCGGACTCCGCCCGCGATACACGCGGCTTCGTTGTCTCTCGCGATTCGGAGAGAGGACACGTTTCTGCTTCCGGTGAGCTGGAGAAGCTGGAGGACTTCTCGCCTGTCATCCCTTTGTCTTTTCCTGAATACTCTTGTGACGCGAGAGGTTTACGGTCGTCGTCTTTGTTACTGTACGACTGTACTGTTGTAACGTGTCTCACGAAGCAAGTTTTATTTAAGCTCTATTTAATATTGTTTGTAAGCGGTTTGAAATTTCTGTCAGGATGAAATTTAACGATCCTCGAAAAATTCTCGAAGGCAATCTGTATAAAATTCTCAGTGTACAATCGTAAAAAATTTTTCGACACTTCAGTTTCGCGATACTTCACACGCGCGCAATTAGTTATGTTAGGTACACGCGACACCCACTTGACATTCTTCGTTTTTCTCCCGAGGTTTTCATCTAGAGTCTTACGACGTCGTTTCAAGAGCTTTCGGAGCACTCTCTCCCTCTCTCGCGTTCCACCCCTTTTCGACGACACTTGACGTGGTTCCCTTCTCCCGTATCTTCGCACACACTCGTCATCGCGTCATGCAAATGCGATTAGTCGCGCGCGTGAGACCGCATACTGCGTCCCGAAGGAAGAAATCCCAAGAAAACGAATCCCATCCGATGGAGAATTCAGCGTCATTAAGCGAGTGATAAAACCGCATGCGATTTCGTCGACGTTCTCTTAATTTATTTAGAGGATTTAACTAGTTCGCGGGACACAAGCGTCTACTTTCTAGTCGCGACACGCGCGACCATCCCGTGGATGCCGCTGCTGCTCCTCCGTAACTCTTGCACGTGAGGACGTGCGAGCTTTATCTCGAGAGAGTGACGAGCCCGGAGGAGGCCATCTCACCCGCCTTTGCCCTGGCATCATCCCTCATCTGTCCTCGCGGTCCCCCGTGCAAATATGACTACGAGCGTAGAAACGTGCGCGCACTCGAGACGCGTGCAGTGGCCTTTCCGCCGGATATGGAATATTAACGAACGAGCGGAAGAGTCAAGCGTGAAATTAAGCGGTTTACACTTTTCGCGTCGGGTAGGTAGTTACGCGGAGAAAGATTTGTTCCACTCTCGGAATTAAAACGCTTTCAAGGACAACGAGAGGTACGAGAAGTAAAAGGAGAGAAAGGGTGACAAAGAATAAGAGTTGGATAGCAACATTGATAATGATTAGAATGACTCGGCATAGATTATACAAGCATAATTTAAAACTTTTAAAGATTTTACAATGGTAGATTTTAATAGATCCATTAAGCCAGAGATTTATTATTATTTTTGTAAAACACATGCAATAATTAACCAATAAAAATATGCATTATTACTTATTACACATGTTATTTATTATATAACATTAACTGTTTTTTTATATGTACGATTAATACGAGTAATTTTATCTATTCGAAATCGTATAGAGTAACAGTTGGACAGCAACATCGCTAATGATCAGAATGACTTGGCATAGATTACATAAGCATGATTTAAAACTTTTAAAGATATTGCAAGGAGAGACTTTAATGGCTCTATTAATTCAAAGATTATTATTTTTGTAAACACATGCAATCATTGACAGATAAAAATGTGCATTATTACTTATTACACATGTAATTTATGAAGTAATATTAATTGTTTTTTTCATATATAAAAATTTTATTTATTCGAAATCGATATGCCTTTCATATTCCTCTTATATGAATTTTTCCACATATAAAAAGGGCGTGATCTCTTTCCTGAAAAGGGCGGAGAAGTGGGAACGTCGAATATGAAGCGACCCCATTCAAAATAGACGGATTGGAATAGAATACGCAGAAATTGGGATTTATTGCGAAGAGTCCCTCTCTCTCTCTCTTTCTCTCGGGGGACGAGTCCCGCGGGAATGTCACCGCGTGCATCACCACGCGCTCGTACACACACGGAGGAAAAATTCGACGGAGCGCACGTGCTACGGAGGAGAAAGGTAGAATCTGATTCAAGGACAGGCGATGGCGGAATATTTCCGATTTTATTACGCGACGTCTCTTTTTTTCCGCGAGAAAAATGGTTGACTCCGTTACTGTTGGTCGCACTATCTTACTCGTTCCCGATTTCTCTCGGGGAGCTGATGTGGCATTCGACCATTCGACATGATTGGCTGATTATGCAGACGCGAAGACTTTGCGAGAAAAGATCGACGGAGAAATACCGATGGCCGCGGAACAATGCCGCGATAAAGCGACAAAATAAAAGTCATGCGAGGATCAGGTGCTAGCACGGAGAGTACTTAACAGTAAAACTTTATACTCGAGACTCGCTAGCAAAACGACTTACGTTAACGTATAAGATTCGTAGTGTGAATAGAGATTTGACGTAGCTAATCGATTGTATCGACATAAAATAGCTTTCAGTTTTTTCTTAGAAAAAATAGATGTAGCAAAATTAATTTATAAAATAGCGCTACGTGCGAAATAGCTTTAGTTGAGTATTCTATGTTGTCACTCTTAACTCAACTGAAGCTATCTCAATAACAACATATTTGTTGAGTCAGACATTACATGATGCGACGTCTACAATGAGATTTAAGAAAATTAACTAATCATAGTCGATTATTCATCTCACGTAAGAAGAATAATCGATTGTGATTGGTCAATTTTCTTAAATCTTATATCATAAGTTTCATTGTAGACACCGCTTGAGATATTAATAATATTTAGAAAATAACGCGACATACGTTTTACAACGTCAAACATGAGCGGCCAGTGTCACTAAATGTTGAGATTGAATTTTGCTAAAAATTTCGACGTCCATAATACATGAGCACGACATATATAACCAAGATTTTAGACTATAAAGTTCACCAAGCTCTGATCGATATCCGTAACGCGTTATCATAACGTTCCGCGAATGTAGAGACGAACGGACTCACTCGCGTCTTCCGGTTGCATTGTGGCATAAAAGTCAGAAGCGACGTCGTCGTATTGATTTTACGAGGCCAGTTTCCCGAACAAAAAGGTAGAGCAGCTACGTAATGTTTTATCGATCTTACGATGCCATTACCATTTATCGATAGAAAAATGAATAAAAGATCCCGGGTACGGTCGTATGCCCGAGTTCGGTATCTCGGTACCTCGTAGCACGTATGTCGATGTATAAATATTATTTTGCGTTGTTCGCATTTATGGCCGCCATAAATATATTTAAATACATTACGGCGATGTATTATAACGTTACTCTGTACGAAGACGTCAACCGGAAAATCTCGTAGAAAGCTCCTTATTATATGTCGAGAGAATCATTCTTCGACTCGGCGAGTCGAGACGTATTGCTCGACATTCAATGTTGCACAAAAGAATCAATAATTTAAAAGGGATGTTTTCAGAAAGTTTATTTAGAAATGATGCTTTTTATTATAAGAGAATGTAAACGATAGAGTTTATTACGTAGATTATTTATATAGAGTGGTTTTTAATTTTTTTAGCAGTTATTTAACTTTTTTTTTAATACAGCAAAACTAAAATGTTTTCTTTTTACATTATCGAATTAAAATAATGCCGTGATAGAAGTTTCCTTTATATAAGTTTCAAACATTATACAGACAATTTACAAAGAAACCTTTGCTGCTTGTTAGAGCGGTAGATGTTTCTCGTTGCCGATTGTCTCTTGTGTCCATCGTTGATTCTATTTCTAGATGTGTAGCTACGTCCTTGGTTTCTTCGTCATTTTCTTTTTCTTCCCCGCTCGGTTACCTGGTGTCTCGTGAATTTCGTTATCTTCTGCTTCTTCTTCCCTTGTGATATATAGTTCGTTCCGCTGGAACTCTCTCGAAGTTTGCGGAACTTCGAAGTATCTTTTAGTCGTCGTCGTCGTCATTGTTTCCGGGAGAAACTTTGTACCATGTGATTCCATGTTTTAGTCGATAAAATCGAATTCTTGTGTAGAGTGGTGGTTGTTACGAAATAGACGAGGTGCAGGTTATCAAACATTTCCTTGCTAATTGTTTGTTCGTAAAAGTATTAAAGAGCTCGTATTTTTTAATCGATTTCGTTAAAAATTATATCACAGA